TTTTTTTTTTTTTTTTTTTTTTTTTTTTTTTTAGATGCAGTGTTTTAATGCACAGTCAAGCTCTGTGCTTAAAAGAGCTCTATAATGGGATTAATCACCCTTTTAATTTCTCTTTTGTGTTGTAGGAATGTATACATATGTATATATAACTTAAATATAGATGTTTATACGTATATATCTTAAAGTGAATTATAATGAAAATTAATTAGTAGTACTTGTGTTTAATACTCTTGAGATAAACTGCCTTGCAAATATTTTGGTTGTGATATGTGATTAAGTGCAAGGACTCTGCTACAATTTTGTGTTCCTCAAAAGCAACAGGCACACTGCTCAGGCTATGGTGGACGCCTAATCCCATAAATTTTGTGTTAACAGTTGCTTTATTTTAACCAAGTTTTTTAAAAGTTTATTTATTTATTTTTGGCTGCACTGGGTCTTTGTTGCTGCGCACGGGCTTTATCTAGCTGAGGCGAGTGGGGGCTACTCTTCGTTGTGGTGCGCGTACTTCTCATTGCGGTGGCTTCTCTTGTTATGGAGCACGGGCTCTACGCGCACGAGCTTCAGTAGTTGTGGCACATGGGCTTAGTAGTTGTGGCTTGCGGGCTCTAGAGCGCAGGCTCAGTAGTTGTGGCCCAAGGGCTTAGTTGCTCCGCGGCACGTGGGATCTTCCCGGACCAGAGATTGAACCCACGTCCCCTGCATTGGCAGGCGGATTCTTAACCACTGCACCACCAGGGAAGTCCCTAGATTATAATGAGTTGAAGGTAAATGACAGGTAAGGAACTCAAGATGGTAAGTGTAGATTATTCTTTGGATTATAAAATGAAAAAGGCATATAAAGTATTAACTAGAGGAAAACTGAAGTTGGAAAGGAAGGGGTGTGTTAAGGTAGGAAAATTCCTGAAGAGACAGAATAATTGAATGAGTAAATGATCAATGTTTAGACTCTCCAGTCACGAATAATTAGGTTGAAATAGTCTTCTGCCACTTACTGCTTATATAATGTTAGGCAAGTTATAAAACCTCACGATAGCACAGTTTTCTTATTTGTAATATGGGGATAAGAATAATAATATTTACCTCATAGGCAGGCATAGATCCCGGTTTTGTGGGACCTTGAAATTCATACAATTTGGGGGGTCTTTTAAAGAAAAGGAATAAAAGATAAAAAATTAAAAATTAGACAATGCTTTGGATGACTTGTACAATCGAATGCTTTGAAATTTAAGTTTCATTAGTCTCACAGTAAATCTGCCACTGCTCATAAAGTTTAATCTCAGAGGATTAAATGCTATAATGAGGTAGACCATAGCCTAATGCCTGGCACCTAGAAAAGGCTCAATAAATGTTGCTGTGACTATTATTTGAACCTGTTTATAGAGTGGTGGGTAGAACCTCTTTAAAGGGAAAGCATGAAGATACAAGTGTGAGAGAGAGAGAGACAGAGACAGAGAGAGTGAGTGAGTGACTGAGAGAGAGAGAGAGAGACAGAGAGAGAGAGACAGAGAGAGAGAGAATTACCAAGGGAGGAAGACACAGGTGGAAATGAGATGTTAGAAAATAGAGGCAGGTGAAGAGAATAAGTTTTCAGAGAGCAGAAGTTCTTAGTTTGCTGAAAAGGAGGTTACATGTATGCACAAAGTTTTTAGGTGTATAGGAGCTCTTGATTCAAGAAACTCACGATTAATTGCCTCTGTCTTATCTGTAGGTTAGAGGCAAAATCACCTGTTGTGCGTAGAAGAACCCAGGTTGATGATACATTGCTTTAAAGGGCACCTGCATTAGTTCCTTATTGCTTTCATAAGGAACTACCACAAATGTAGTGGCTTAAGGCAACACAGATTTAATATTTTGTAATCTGCAGGTCAGAAGTCTGAAATGCATCGGCAGGGCTGTGTTCCCTCTGGGGGCTCAGGGGAGCATCTGTTCATTGCCTTTTCCAGCTTCTAGAGGCTGCCTGCAACCCTTAGCTCGTGGCCACATCACTCTGACCTTGGCTTCCATCATCACATCACCTTTTCTGATTCTGACCCTCCAGCCTCCCTATTATAAGGGCCCTTATGATTACACTGGGGCTTCCTGGTTAATCCAGCATGTTCTCCCCATTTCAAGGGTCCTTAACTTAATCTCACTTGCAAAATCCCTTTGCCATTCACAGGTTCCAGAGATTAGGATATGGACATCTTTGTGAGGGAGAGAGGAGGCTCTTATTCAACCTACCACATCATCTAGCTGAAACAGTAATCAATATTGATTGACTACTGACCCACTAAAAACGTAACCCAACAAAACGGCTTGTTTGTAAACTTTCCATTGGTGTCCTATTTGTCCTTTTTTAAAATTGCCTTCCAAATGTAAATAAACCTATTAGAGAACAGTTCTGCTCTAGCTCATTCTTTGTTGCCATTTACAAAAACTTTCATATGTAGTACATAAT